CATGGCATACTTTAGAAACATTTTTTATGGATCACTCTTTATTAACTTGAAAATATACTCGACACCTTGTAACTTGTATTTTACAAATCTATGGGACAGTTCTCCTAAAGTTACTTATTTTTAAAATTCAGTACTAAATTCCAGAATCCGAGTGGTGATAAGAAAGTGCTCGAACCTGCGTTCTTTAGGTTGCTGTCTAGACATACCTAACCATAATTTGTCTTTGATTTGTTATCACCACTTGGATTCTGAAGTTTATTCTTGAATTCTTTCATTAATTTGCTTTTGTGTCAGCAATTAAACAAACAAAATTTCACTGGATAAACCTTTCAGTTTATTTCTGCATTTTCCTAAAATATAATTGTTGTTTGCAGTTTTGGCGGGACTGAAGCAGCCACTTTCTGCACCCTTACCACTCTCAAGAAGCATCTTCTATACGACAACAAAGTGGATGTATACATGTACGCAAAAATATACCATGCTAGAAGACCTGGCATCTGGATCTCATGCGACGACTTCCTGAAACTGCACCTCTCCGTACAGACGCTTTGCAACCCTCCAGAACCCTTGATACAAGAAGTCGCTCCCGACTTATACGCCATCAATGTAGTTAATGCGAATGGTAACGTAAACGTCAACAATCTACCAGCTAATGCCAATGATCACGTGCGAGTTCCTCCTGAAGGTATGGAAGCTGAAGCTGCAGCTGTTTAATCTATTTCTCGTATTTCGTGTTGAATGTACCTACTTGTTTATTGTCTGTTAAATGTACAAGTGATCATAATGTATGCTGACGAAACAACATTCGCATTTTTTAAAATAGATTCTAGTTTAAATTTTAATTTTTATCACATGGTATTTTTTTTATCATGCTTTAAATACAAAAACGCCTGAACCAGATACTTTAGCTATTTGATTCAGAAATGTATCTAAAAAGCCACATATTTTAGCAAATAAGAATCAGGTTTACCATGCGAATGAGCGTTTTAATAATTTTTAACAAAAACTATGTACGTCACTGACTTTTTCCCTGTTGATCGGAAATATTTGTCTAATTTTTGGGTAAGGAATCGTTTTACTAGCGATGGCTTATGTTTTTGAAACACCCTGTATTTATGATGACTTTTTTTCAAATATCAAATTTTCATGGTTTCGAGTAAAGTAGGTGAAAAAAGGCTAGGCACATGTTTACTTTTAGTTTTTGGGGGAGGTATGTGACATCGTATCATTTTGACCCGGTGTCTCCGGATTTGGTGATCTTTCTTCGGGTTTAGGGTTAACATTAAAATTATTTGGATTTTTTTTCTCCTGGGCTCGTCCGACTATGTCTCCGAATAACACTGAAGCCTATTGGCTTATTGTTTTACCTTTGTACCTTGTACAAGTTTGTACAGATCCTTGGGTGAGTGGGTTCTATACGTTGTTGGATCAACCTGGGGTTGTCCAAAAAGTACCTGTCTTTTGCGATCTAGAGCTTCGCATTCACACAGTATGTGTTTGGCCATTTCTGGTTTCTTGTGACATATTCGGCACATGAGTTTCCCATTGTACATGCCAATTTTGTTCAAGTGTCCCTTTACTGGGGCGTGCGCAGTCAGGAACCCTGTTATCACTTTCAACTGGTTCCTATTCATAAAGAGTAGTTCTCCAGTTCTTTTGGGACATGGTCTGCCTATGAAGGCTTTTCCATATGCCTGTTTTGGGGTGCTTCCCCAATAGTTAATATGTTGTTCCCGAATCCAGTCGTTTATGAAACCCCGGACTGTACTTTTTAGTACTTCTGAGTTTGTGTATGGTTCCGGTTGTTTCTTCTGACCCTCTTATTTTTGCAAGTTCGTCAGACTTTTCGTTGCCTTCGATCCCTTGGTGACCTGGCACTCAAAATAGTTTTACTCAATTTCGGTTTGCCAGTATTCTTAGTTCTTCGATGCATTCCCATACCAGCCTCGACGTTAACTTTCTGATTCGATATGGCCTTAAGTGCCTCTGTCTGACATTATTTGAATATGCTGATTTTCGACAGCTCTTCGATTGTTCGTTTTTGCACATTGCAAAATTGCGTATACCTCGGCCTGAAATACCGAGGAATGTATTCCTATAGCATAGCTATAGTAAGTATCAGGGTTTTTGGAGAATACTCCCGCCCCTGTGCCTTCCGCAGTCTTAAACCCATCTGTATACCAGGTTTGTTCCTGTCGTTGGGCATTGGGCTCCCTTATGGTGATCTTCGATCTTTCCTGTATTAAAACCTCAAATGGAGTATTAAAAGAGTACCTCTTGGTTATGTGGTCTGTTCTCATGTCTAGCACGTCTCCTGTCCCTAACCTTGAGATACTCATGTGACCTGGCCTAATGTCAAGATTTCCCAGTGTATTCCCTAATCTGTAAGCACTTAATCTTACCTCTCCTTGTATCACATAGTGAAGAGGTGGAAGTCCTATTAGTGCTTCCATTGCAGCTGTGGGGGTTGTTTCATTGCCCCCGTTATTCCGAGGCAGGCAAGTCTTTGTACCTTGCTTAGCCTCGTTATTGCTTTCCTTTGCTGTGTCTTTGGCCACCACACCGAAGCTGCGTATGTTATTATCGGTCTCACCACCATGTTATAAAGCAAATATACCATATCTGGTTTTAACCCCCATTTTTTCCAAAGGATCGCCTTGCCATCATTAACGAGGTTTCCGCTCTCCTTGTATTTTTTTTTCTAGATGCTGGTTCCAGGTAAGTCTCGAGTCAATCATTACCCCGAGATATTTTACCTTCCCCTCAAGCTGGATGTTTGACCCTGTTACGTTTAGAGGCCCTAGTCCCTCCAATTTCCTCCTGCGGGTGAATGCAATTATGTCAGATTTGTTTGGGCTAATGTTTAGTCCTTCCGCCTCTGTCCATTTTATTACTATATTTAGAGCCTCTTGCATTCGAGTTATTTTCCCTGTACGATGATTATTAGATCATCGGCATATCCCAGGGTTCTATGTCCCTTATCTTTGAGAGCCCTAAACAGCCCGTCCACTACAAGGTTATTGTCTCTCCCATAGAGGTTGTGTGTATAGTTCTCTCCCTTAACATAGAGTCGATCCAGGACACGCACGTGTTCTCGATTATTTGGATTAGTGGCTTATTTCAAATGCAGCTTAGTTCAGATATTCCACATAAAATTAATGTTATTAAAAAATAAAATTGATGTGTTATAGAATTTTTCAAAAAACTTCGTCAAAAAAAATTTTTTTTAAGTGCCCATCCATCATATTTTTTATGAACGAAAATCTACCAAAATATTCAAAAAAGTTTGTAAATAATGTCACCCTAGTCACCTTTCATAGACATCCGTAACTTACCCTTTCACAAAAATAAAAATCATGGAAAAGATAGAACAGTAGCGAGTATTTGGCAAGGTGTAAGATTTTTCTACATTTAAAAATTTTTATGTGAAATCTATTTTAAAAAATGTTTTGTCGTTTTGTAAAACAAAGTCCCTGCGACGTTTTTAAAATAAAAATCGACTATGCCTCTATTGGTGCTTTAACATTTAATAAAACTCGTTATAATTCGTTAATCTTGTAGATACATGGAAGCATTTTCGATATTTTATTTGTAATGTTATTTAGTCGGCTTAGCAAAACGGTTACTTACCATAAGACATTCTAGAGCAAAGAAATAAATTCATAAAATATGGAGTAACTTGAACATTTAATTGGACTCTAAAATGTCGTAGAAATGCTGCTAACCCTCTTGAAAATTGACAGGATTGACAAAAATAGAATGGGCATGAACTGACAGAATAATAAGAATTGATATTTGAAAAATATTAAAATAAAAGCATGTTTAAATGTCTTATGAAGTCCGTATTGCTATTCTGCTTATTTACTGTATGTCGTTTGTGGTTACGGATTTTAAAAATTTAAAATTTATGTTTACACTCTCTTGCAAAATGGTTTGTTTAGCTTTTAATCTGTATGTAGCATGAATTTGTATATGTCGTCTTTTTTCAAAATTACCTTATTTTTAGGTGGTATCCTTGATTACTGAGAAATTAACCGCTGGAGAAATCAGATTTAAAACACTCGGTTCCCAAACACAGTTCACAAACACAGTAATTTTTATTTTGTAGTGCAGATAATTTATATTAGTGTTAGAAAATAGATTAATCACTTGTTATCACTATTCACTCCTTTCAATATTTTTGCTTTGATTTGATACTATTATACAGGGTGTAACAAAATGGTATATCATAAATTGTAACAAATTCCTGAAGTTAAAAAAAGGCTATTCCTCCAATTTCCGACATTTTTGGATTAATAATGAAAGCATCGACTTAAAGGGTCAGTGAATGTGAATAAGATAGATCGCTGGTATATAGCAAATAAAGGAGGAGTTCAAGGAAGCTACCCTGCTGCACACCTGCTTTATCTCTTTTAATTCGGAATATTCCTCTTATTGCTTGATTCTAAACAATTGTCGGATATATCGTCGTCAATATCACGAAGTGACGTAACTCGATTTTCGCTTTACAAGAGAGCGTTTTAAAGTTTTTTTTTATAAAGTTACGTCTCTTCGTGAAATTATCAGATACACCAGTTAGATACGTGCTATTTTAATAAATGTAATTAATTGAAATACGCAATTTCGTGAAATTGTAGAGCATACTTTTTTATATAATACATCTCAATTTTCATTTTTCTCGAGTTACGTCACTTCGTGATATTGACGACGATATGATGTTAGGATGTTAACTTACTGTACTAGTAGCATTTTGTTTAATTTATTTATCAAGCCTTAGTGCCACACTTTGTCGAACACTTGTGCGACGTCTAAACAAGATTGCATTCAATAATGTATTGTTGAGTGCTTTTGTCTAAAACCAAACTTAAAATCTGGGAATAGGTTACTATTTCCTATTAGTGATCGCAGTCTCAAAAGTTTTGAAACTATTGGTAAAATAGGATTTAACATCATTAGGTTGTTATCCTGGTTTTGGAAAATCGATTTTTTTTTTTTTTTTTAATAACTCGGAATCTGATTAACAATTTGTCATGAAAATAAGTATAAAAGCAACTTTAAAAAAATACGAAAACAATGCACCCAATCAAATTTTAGGGGAATTGTGATTAACTAGACCCCTCAAACTTTTATATACATCATAAATAGGTTATTCTCGTACCACCGTTGCTTTAATGCATTCATTTTGAATATCTTTTGGTCCTTGGAACTTTTTAGAAAAGTTTTTAATAATTAGTCACAAAAAATTGATTGATATAATTTTTTGACAAAAATAAATGTTTATAAATCAGCATATTCAGTATATTTAGCATATTCAGCATTATTATCACTCTCTATGTTATCCGTATGCATATCGTTTATAAAATCATCAATTTTTTGATATGCCCATTCTCCATCATCAGTTAACATATCGATATCGGACAATTCATTTTCTGACAACTTTAATATGTCTTTAATCAATATCCTGACTCTTCCGTCAATGACTATCTTGTTCGTTTTTCTACTAATATAAGTACATTTGTCCTTGTGTAGGGACATACTTTTATTCAAAAACTTGCAGCAATATCTGTAACTTGTGGAGGGTGGGTTACCCCCACGGCACTTAGGCCTCATAAGGCCCATTATGCATCCTCCTAAGATGATAGTCACCTCCTAGCTCGTGAGCCAGCCTACAGATTTAATGTAGTTGACAACGTCGCCAAGAGGTGCTTCTCTTATATCGGCCGGTGTTAGCCGATACTCGCCAAACACAAATCTTCTAATAAATGAGAGCTTCGAGTAAAGGATATGCTCGATGGTCTCATCTTCTTGTTCGCACCCTCTGCAGAGTGCGGATTCTGACAACCCCATGATATGAAGATGCTTCCGTACTTGGCAATGACCAGTCAGAATGCCTGTGACTAGGCGCAGATTCTGTCTTGTCATAGTCAAGTGTTTCTTTGTTGCAGTGTTGTCAAGATAACTTAAGAGCTCCCTGGCAACTCTGCAGTTTCTTGTTTCATCCCATCTTTCCTTGAATTTCACAAGGGAATGTTCTTTAATTAGGTATGTCACTACCGATTTTTTCAGGCCAATAGAAGGGCCAAGTCCAAAAAGTATTTGGTTGGCTGCTTTCTTGGCTAGTGAATCAGCAAGACGATTTTCTTTCGATGTGGCGTGACCTTTGATCCGAAGCTTCGTGAAATTCTAGTACTAACTCTGAGTAAATTCGTAGTCTGTTCAGGGGGAGTAGTGCTTGTCTGCTATCTGTATAGATGAGCATATTCTTTCCAGTGATATTGTTTCTGGTTATTTCTTTTTCTGCTATGAGAATCCTCGTTAGCTCTGTTTGAAGTACACTGGCACCATTGCTCACAGCCCATTTTATGTTTAGGTTTAAGAATCTGGAGTATATTCCACATCCTGAGCCTTGTTTTGTTTTAGAACCGTCGGTGTAGATATGAATCGTACCTGCCACTATGATAACTTTATATGGCTTATAGAAGATATATCTTGGTGAGATGGAGTCCATGTTCGCTTGAAACAGTGAGAGCGTATCGAGCGCCTCCTGTCAAAAACGACGTCTCGCCTCACCAAATCCTACATCAGGTTCTATTCCAACCGTGCGGAGGCGTGTCATTGTTGTCAGAGTAACCTCCTCTTGATGTAAATATCAAGGGGAGTGAGACTAAAAATGACTTCCTGGCTCTGGTCGGTGTTGTTTCCATGGCTCCTGTTGTGTTGAGACATACTGTTCTTTTGATTTGTTCTAGTTTATGGATAGCTGTTAATTTTTGGGCTTTCGGTACCGACAACTGCACCGTATGTTAGCATAGGTCTTATGATAGCTGTGTAAGTCAATGCGAGAACTCTGGGGAGAAACCCCAGGTGCGCCCTACGGTTCGGCGGCATTGTTCATAAGCAATGTATGCTTTTTTACCTCTATTTTCTAAATGCGAGTTCCATGTTAACTTGCTGTCAAAGGTGAGACCTGGGTACTTCCCTCTGTTGCAAAGTTTAGGAGTTCTGGAGATTTTAATTCCATTTTCATCCTTTTCCTTGTGAAAAGGATCACTTCTGTCTTCTTAGGATTGATAGACAGTCTTTGCACCACTGTTCTATAATTTTTAGAGCTACTTATGCATTCTTTCGCATAGTATGTTCTCAAAATTCCCTGTTTGCAGAATGACCAGGTCGTCTGCATATGCTATTGTGCAGTGACTGTCATTATTGAGGTGGCTGAAGAGGGTGTCGAGGACCATATTCCACAGTAGAGGTGATAGCACCCCTCCCTGTGGACATTCCCTCGCAACCAAGCCTCTTATATTCACATCTTCTACACTTATGTTTACTGCTCGCTTTGAGAGCATGTTATGTATCCACCTACTAATCATTTTTGGAACATTTCTGTTGGTTGGTGTGTGTATTATCTTTGAGGAGGTGGTTTTATCAAAAGCAGTTGTGGATAAAGTGATATCTATTAATGTTTAACTGCGAAAGTTTAAAATGTTGGTGTAGTACCTTTATTTAAAATACCAAGAGTTTTGGTAATTATATAATCATAAAGTGACTTACCTCTAGCGTTTTTATCCTTACTGCCCCAACTGAAGTCATGAGCGTTTGAGTCGCAACCTATTACCAGCTCAAACTTCTGTTCCAGGCAGTATGCAATCAGATCCTACTGGGTGGTGGCGTGGTTGCATCGGAAGGAAGGTATGCAGATGCAGTAATACAACAGCTGTCATTTCAAAAAGCAACCTTTGTACATACCAAAAACAATACACAGGCAATATTACAAACTCTAACACACTAAATAATTAAAAACACACGCAGATACAAACGCACCTGCGTACCTACCATGATTTGTTTACATATCTGCTAGTTTTGGAATGATAAAGTAGACGGCTCTGTTGTGCGTTGCCCTGTGTAGGCTACAAAGCCACCTCAATTCAGCCAGGAAGGGGAATGGAGGTAATTACCTATCTCCTACTAATGTATTATTATCAAAAATAAGGTCTTTTATATATAACCACTACCCGCCCCCAGACTACCGACTTTGGATGCGCTACTGAATTCAGCTGACTATAGATTTTATTATTACATGGTGTTGTATTTGGTGTCCCTTCTGAAAAGCTTAAGCAGACCATATATGTCTTTTTTTCATGCCAAATTTTTTCAACACTTTCCGAGATATTGGAAAAATAAATATTCAATTTGTAACTTCAAAAGGTTATAACTCTTTTTGTGTACACTTTTGACTACAGAATATCTGACATAATTTATGGTCTACCTTTTTGTTACACCCTGTATAGAATGAGATTAGGTTTTAACAATAATTATTTGCATTCTCGATATTAATATTATAAATTTTAAAGATTCGTTAATGTTGAAGCCTAGTATTCATTCTGTATAATGCCTCCCTTATTTTGATGTAACTCTTATTATTTAATTTGCAGAAATACCACTTGTTATCGTGGATCTTTTGAACAATAGAAGGAATTAGACTAGTCATAACTGCCAGTCGGGATTTAAAAATTAAGAACCTATTATAAGTAGGTTGAAATATTCACATTATTTGTTCTTAAATATTTCAACTTATTTTCATTTTTATTAAGTTTACAAATAAATAAATACTATTTTAATGTCTAAACCGTACTGAAAGCTACTTAACCAATTGGTTTGATAAATTTCAAATACATATATGATATAATGAACCAATTGGCAAAAAGTACACACTCTAAAATATATAAATAACGTAACCAAAATGTAATATGGTACTTAAACAAAATTTCTGTGATACACATTAAGCGTTGACTTAAAAATTACAATTATAAAATAACTGCTACTAACAAAAATATTGATTAAAAAATATCTATTTGTATACGAAAAAGCCAAAAAGGGTTATTTATAATAATTTATTCTTAGATTAAGAATATTACATACCTAATATTAAAAACGATTTACTCTGCCATGCCAATTTAAAATACCGAATATAGACTTTCCAAAATACTGATCAAAAATATAATTTAGTTTTTCAGACATTTACATCACTTTAATGTCTTTAAATTATACAATAAATGCATTAATTTTAAAATCATGATTGAAACACCAATATAATATTTAAAACTTACAAGTTCAAATTAAATTTAACAAAGTTTGAGCCCTTAACTAAAATAAAACTTTGGATATTTAAGGTATTACCTTTGAACTTTTAAGTTTAACATTTATTGTATATTCCACGATTATACAATAGTTATAAAACATTTATAACTACTAGAAACTTACCTGGCATAATAAGAATATTTACAAGTATATTCTCTAAACCTGTAAATACAGACTTCACACTTTGATTTGATTTACCAAATTTAGTATTCATAAATATAATGATAATCTAAAATCCAAATACTCATGAGTTGTTGAGAATCAAATAAAAGTTTTCGACATTATTTATATAGGCGCATCTCATTCTTCACACTTAATTGATTACAAAAATTGAAATTATATATCGAACATATCTATCACAATAAATTGGCTTTACTAAACTAATCAACATTCTAAAAGTTCTTTCACTCAAAAATTAGTAACTAGAATAAAAATGCTTTTTACAATAATTTAAACTTTTTATACGATTTTAGAAGTGATCCTCGGAAAAGTATTATTATGTAAATTTGAAGGTAATTAGGTCTTAAAATTAATGTGTAATATTAACAATCCAGTTATGGTAGTATAATTCGTTATCTTTTATCATTCATAAACACCGTTTTCATAACCAACATATTGAAATATTTAAAAAAATATATATGTATCAGGTATAGTACTAGTACTAATCTGTTAACAACAGACAATGAATACAGAAAAATACACAACAATAGTTATTTGTGTACCAAGGTCGTAAATTTGATCTCTTTTGTCTGAATAAAATTTTGCGATTGAGTCCAAGCAACTTCTGATTAAGCCAAAAAAGAACATACGGCCGAGGTGCACACAATATTTTTTAAGCGAATGTCTCGTCAAAAGAAAAGTTTCAATTTTTTGTTAAGTAATAAATAAAATGCGGCCAAAACAGTTATACTGTAAGGATGTTACTAAATCGGTAAAATGTTATTTTTTTGTGGCTGTCGCCTAAAAAATAATAAAAATATGCATGACATGGTTGCACAAGTTGACCGAAAATAACGCTAGATTTCTGACAGGATAGAAGGTAGGAAACAATGAAGAAACAGTCTAAAATCACAAGCTGAATTAGGTACTATAAAAAATAACAATTAGTCCAGTATGTGAAGGACTGAAAATGATCGAAAGCTGTAAAAAAATCGCTGATGAGTTCCCACATAGCTCAATTTGTAGGTCATCGCAGGTGTTTTTAAATGAGAAAATCCTTAACGCGTTCTTGGTACCGGAAGGGGCTGAAAATGGACTCCTAAGCTCTGAAAAAGGGGTTTCCGCTAATATCTGGCTAAATATGCCAATTAGAGAATTTTTGTTCAGACAAAAAATGAAGATTAGCTCATTCTCTACAAAAATAATCCCTACCAATTTGTTCACAATGCCAATATTTTTTGCAAAATCAGACTTCGAAAAATCCATAATTTTCATATTGAATAGATATGGTAGTTTCTTGCCGAATTTCCGCTCGATGGGGTTGGAAATACATTGATCTTCATCTTTTGGACTTTAGAGACCAATTGCAGATGACGCCAGCACCTTTGCTCTTCTCGCTAAATTACGGAGTCCGTAAATAAAAATCTCTGAAATAATCGATTATTCACCTGATTTTTTTCTGCAAAGTAGGTTTTTCTCAATTGTATTAGCGAATGTTCTGTGCAATTTGAGTTGCAAATTTACCAGAAAATTGCAAAAATTTATTTTTCCTTGTGCCAAGGTCTTGAATCCCGTTGTTTTGGCTAAAAGCAAATGACAACTTTTAGAGCGTGGTGAATATTCACCATACAACCATTTTATATATTTTTCGCATTTTTGCGATTTTTTGCAAACTTTTTTCGGAATAGTATGGGTGCAGGGTTTCGGAAAAAATACGCAAGTCTTTGAAAAATTACATTTATTTGGAAGAATTGGTTGGATATAAAACATACATAACAACATAACATAACACCTAGGGTGTGGTCAATCACTCCAAGTCATCAGAATCATATACATATTCTTCATCGTCAACGGTATTCTCGTCGCCTACTCCCTCTTGTTCCATTTCTACCCTTCCCCCTGTCGTCCTGTCTCTCTCTTCCTCCAGCTGTATTTCTGCCGCCTTGCTTTGCAACCCTTCTGTCTCTTCTTCTACCTCTATGTCTACTTCCACCTCTAATTCTTCCGGGAATATAACTTTATTTCTTTGCGATGAATCTGGCGTAAATTTAAGTGTCATTTTTCACAGTTCCCCAAGTGCAGCTGTAAGGTTTGGAACAATACTTGATTCTTTGCAGTCACCGTCTGAGCGTCTAAAAGTCTAACAGCAATTTGTACTGCAAAACTTGCAACAGCACCTTGGGAACAGTGAAAAAAGCGGCTCCAATGGGAACCGAATTCATTTCAATGCTGAAACTGGCTTACACCTTCCATTTGGCGGCGAAAGAGCTCACCACAAGAGCTATTGTGAGGCTATTGTGTGCCGTTCTTAAGACGGTTAAAGTACCAAAAACTGAACAACAGTTTACTTATTTATTTTATTATCATTCGGTAATCCATATGAACCATTGTCACTTCACTTCTCTTTACTTTTTAAACACTACCAATGACCGAATAATATTTTTGTTACTTCCAGATCATGTAACTGGTTAATAATGATAAATACCTCCAATTTTGGTCAACTCTGCCATGGTGTACATTTCTTCCCCCAGTTTCCATAATATTAGCAGCAATTCTCTCAATCTGTGCTGAAATATCTGAGTCCTTGGGCCGTCCCTTCGGTTTAGCCTTACCAGAAGCTTTTTCAGACAATTGATAGAATGCCAGTCGACAGACTTCATGATATCTTGCACCAACAACTGTGAGGTCGATCCCAGAAATTATTTCTAGCGTCGCTTTATACTTTTCTATATCAATATAAACTGTGTTCTGTTTCAGAAGTGTGGTCTTGAATTCTGTGTTCGAAACAAGTACGATGGTATGCTTCTTTACCAAACTGCTCTTTCTTTTCTCCTTTTCTATCGAAGCAGGTAACTGACAAAACAAACAATTGTTTTTGAAGTCAAAGCCACTATGGGATCGCTTCTTTTGTCTCTTCGGGCTCGTTAAATGGTCCAACCGTCTTGAAGAGTGCTTGTCAAACTCGTTGTACGCGAACTTGCCTCGAGATTTAATAATATAGCGGTCCCTACACTTGTTGTGCATTCGTACAGAGGATTGTTTCTGGAAAAATAGGTGGAAATTATCGCATCTCTCCTTGCTCACTCGAATCAAATTTTCTAAACCACTAGTAACATTTACACCGTCATCCACAACACCCTCCTTACAAAGAAAGCATTCTGGGAACGGAATCCGCTTCCATTTCAACAACACCAAGAGCTACCAAAAAATAGATGATCCAACCGTTAGAACAATTACACCAAGTAAAGTTGAGGCAAAATAAAACAAACCTTATTTTCTGCTTCCAACAAAAAAGGTATAACGTGGAAATTTCTCACTTTAAACACTTCTTCTGTTTTTTATAACTGAATTAATTTAATGAAAAATATTTATTTTATTTTAAATAAATAATTCAAAATAAATAATGAATAAATATCATCAGTACATCAATAATCCGGTCAAGCCGACGACTCCAAAACATAGATAGTATACAAACACATGCAGACAATTATCGCCGCGTGGGTACACGAGGTTAGGTTAGGTATGTACAATATCATGGATCTCGGAGGGGGAGCGTAAAAATGAAGTATATAATTGTAACAACCGTTTTAGAACCAAGAACGGATATGGGGATTGAAAATAAAGAGCGGGGAACAAGAAATGGTTAAACAAAAAAAGGCCGGTTTTCACTCGTGTGATCAATTTTCCTCATTTCTTTAAAATTATTAGACTTTATTGAAAATAAAAAAATATATTCGAAAAGTAGACCATCTAAGCTTTAAAATGATGTTCATTGGAAATCAATATAACGGATCATAAGATTATAACTCGCGCTTGTTCCGAAGATTCTATGGAACTCCGAAATCGGCTAAAACATGTAAATAAACAAATCAATTTTATATTAAAACCCAAAAAAAAATATTACAAAAAAATTTCTGAGATCATTCAAGACTATTTTTAAAGAAAATATGAATAAATTAATGAAGCAGTCTCTAAATATTGTTGAAAAAAACTTTGACCGCTTTTAAAAATATGTTTGGCAAACACGAACTGACTTCAAGTCACATGGAATTGTAGCTACGGGCTTTCCCATTGCAATGAACTTTGAATCATTAAAAAATATCAATTTTTTTCCCGAGATATGGAACAATTCGTCCGCCCGCTTACACGTTAATTCATAGAAAGCGGAATGCCTGCAGGTAGAGCAGCAGCTGAAATGAGGGGACTTTTCAGTGCCATTATCTCGAAAACTAAGGGCCATTTTTGTAGATAATGAGCTGATCTTCATTTTTTGTCTGAACAAAAATTCTCTAATTGGCATATTCAGTCAGATATTAGCGGGAAACCCATTTTCCAGGTTTTAGGGGTCCATTTTCAGCCCCTTCCGATACCAAGAACGCGTTAAGGATTTTCTCGTTTAAAAACACCTACGATGACCTACGAATTGCGCTATGTGGGAACTCATCGGCGAATTTTCCTCAGGTTTGACCCTTCAGTTACTGGACTAAATGTACTTATGGATAAAACTGCTCGTAAACTTAAATAAGACTACATAAAACCTGGTAATTCACTCGTTATACTACCACCACATCTGGTTATACGAGAAGTAACCACGGGAGACTGAACAAAAGTGGTAATTTAATGTTTAGATAAATTGAAAGTAGTCGGAATTTATTTATTAAACGTACCTATATAGTAGTTATCCTTAAATATCCTATATTTGAAGAAGTTTGGTAATAATTCGGTTAGAAATTGAAACCTGCAACTTTATAGTGATTTTAGCAAATGCGATGTAAAATTAGGAAAACGATAATGTTCTAAGTTGAATCTAAAGTTGAACTCAACAGACCTCGATTGTAGAAATAATCAGTTCTAAACCAATTTCTTCATTCTGATGTACGGGAATGCTATACAGCAGGGTGTCTAGTTCTATTAGACAAGTAGAAATATTTTTATAATACCGTGTTATTTAAAAATGCCGTAAATTTGGTTGTGCGAGGTATTGAAATAAATTTAGAACAGATGCGGGTATAATTGCGTATAAAAAGTAAAATACATCAAATTTTTGATAGTAATTGAAAACGCAAATCTTTCAAATAATATTAATTCTTTTTAGACATCCTGTAAAACTCAAAATTCTATATAATTTTTGTAAATTAGTAATATTAAACTCATACAGATATTTATATTGTTGTAGTTACACATATTTATTGTAAGTACGAGCTTCTCGGTATAAAATCAACATGAATGTATATAAATATTTAGCAAGTACTCTGTTTCAGGAATAGTATTATTTATATTGACAAACGGTAAAGTTAGTGTCTTTTATCGAATTTGACTGAAATTCCTGAAAAAGCATGTATCATAGTTATTCTAAGCTAAACTCCAAATAAGGCATTGCTTAAAAAAAGTCTAAAATGTGATTTACATTAAAAATTAGTCTATTTTGTTAAATATATTAAAAGTATAAATATTGCACGAAAAACAAGAGTAATAACAAAAAATAATATAGGTCTGAATCGGAAAAATTAATAAATTGCTGAATGTTTGGGTGTCAAGATTTTATCAAATTTATCTTTATTTTATATACACTCTTCCAACTCTTAAATGATACGACGTTGTTAACATAATTAGGAAGTTAATAAAAGCGACTATACAGGGTATTATTGAAATACATGTAGATATTAAATCAAAGTATTATTTAAACTCTCCCAGAATATGCAAAAATGTTATTTTGAATAATACCATTATGTATACGGGGTGATAGAAGTCCACCAGTTGACGTTGTCAACCAGCAGGATTTTAGACGAGCTGAACGATGCACAATGTGCCTTATGAGGCATGAGTGATGCAGGGCAACCGACTCTCCCCACCTCAGATACGAAAGACATTCGCCTTTCGCCACTGAAGTTGGCAGAGATCATGTGCAAAAATTAAGTCACCTCAGTCAGCACCTCTGAGAATAAAATTGAATGTATTGGGACTTTCTATAAGAGTTACTTTAACCATATTTCAACTAAATTATCAAATTTTATTATAATTGAAGATACAAGTGCATAAAGGGCCGAGGTACATACAATTCAAATTGTTAAAGGGTCTATATTATATGGTGAACTATCCAAAAGTGTCTTCAATTATTATTTGCACTTATATAAGTGTCACTTTTAATATATACATGCAATTGAGTTATACCCTGTATAGAAGATATCTTGTAAAATATAATTTAAATATAGTCTTGAAAAGGATGATTCCGACACATTCGCATAATTTAAAATTTTAAGCGCACTAAAAAATATGCACAATTTTGGATGCCATATTTGGAAATGTTGTGCTAATTATTAAATGTGCTAATGTTAGAACATAAGTAGAACTTAAGTGTAAAAAAATCTTATATGTAGGTCTTAATGTCCAATACTATAGATAGGTACGTAGATCAGGATATGTTGTCCATAAAAATGTATTAGTTCTGTGTAATTAAACTTAGATAATATTGATGGTCCAAAATAATCTATTATATTATCCCTTGGTGTTCTGTGAGTTTTTTGAATGATTGTTCAGAAAATTTTAAATGTTTAAGTAGGTTATGTGCTTCAGATATTTGAGGATCCGTCCACCGGTATATTGAGAGTTTTGAACAATCATCCTAAAAACGTATAGGACGAGTATCTGTAAAAAAAATCCTTAAGTATCTACGTATTATTAAATTAACGATAGATTTTAAGTGATACTCGATTTTTTTATGATATATTTAAAATTGTTCTGTAATTAATTATTTTTCGATTTTTGAAATTTATCAAAGTGTAGTAAGCATTGATCTATCAGATATATCACGGTTGTTTATGTTACATGTTTGTGTTGCAAAATAAAAAATGTATATCTAACATTCGTTTCATTTTACCAGTGTATTTGGATAAATACAATGATTTCACCTATCCATGAACGCCTCAAGATAGTGATGAATGGTATAGAGCTCTACATGTGTGTGAAATAACAAAGTAAGATCAAAACCAGAGATCAAAAATTGTGTCATCAGGATAGCAGAAATGCGACAAGGTATTTGACTTATTTTTAAATGTGAATAACGACTAAACGGCTCAAGATAGAGGCAAGCCGTAGAGGGCATTTTAAACTATCCGTCCGGCTCTACCTTTATGTGAATTTATGGAATAATTCGATTATTATTAACTGAGGAATTAACAAAAAAAAGTTACCCCTTATAGCTAGGGAGCAACTGAGTTCACCCCTTAATTGTTCGTGCTTTCCTTTATATGTACCCCAATTTTCATCAAGATCGGACACAAAAAAATTTTTTGTCGAAAAATTTGGAAGGCTATACCCTTTCGATTTTTTTGAAAAAATAAAAACCAATTTAAATTTGCATACGGATAGAAGGTCACATGTAGATCTCAAAAATATACTCAGTTTTTTTCTAAAAGCAATATTAAAAAAGTTGTAGCAAAAATAAAAAATTTTGATATCTCCTCGCTCATCTATTATCCTGATACAAAGTTCCGAATTCGAAAAGATCCAATTTTGTCTACAAAATTTTGGTATCAGGATAGCAGAAACGCGACAAGGTATTTGACTTATTTTTAAATGTGAATAACGACTAAACGGCTCAAGATAGAGGCAAGCCGTAGAGGGCATTTTAAACTATCCGTCCGGCTCTACCTTTATGTGAATTTATGGAATAATTCGATTATTATTAACTGAGGAAATAACAAAAAAAAGTTAACCCTTATAGCTAGGGAGCAACTGAGTTCACCCCTTAATTGCTCGTGCTTTCCTTTATATGTACCCCAATTTTCATCAAGATCGGACACAAAAAAATTTTTTGTCGAAAAATTTGGAAGGCTATACCCTTTCGATTTTTTTGAAAAAATAAAAACCAATTTAAATTTGCATACGGATAGAAGGTCACATGTAGATCTCAAAAATATACTCAGTTTTTTTCTAAAAGCAATATTAAAAAAGTTGTAGCAAAAATAAAAAATTTTGATATCTCCTCGCTCATCTATTATCCTGATACAAAGTTCCGAATTCGAAAAGATCCAATTTTGTCTACAAAATTTTGGTATCAGGATAGCAGAAATGCGACAAGGTATTTGACTTATTTTTAAATGTGAATAACGACTAAACGGCTCAAGATAGAGGCAAGCCGTAGAGGGCATTTTAAACTATCCGTCCGGCTCTACCTTTATGTGAATTTATGGAATAATTCGATTATTATTAACTGAGGAATTAACAAAAAAAAGTTACCCCTTATAGCTAGGGAGCAACTGAGTTCACCCCTTAATTGCTCGTGCTTTCCTTTATATGTACCCCAATTTTCATCAAGATCGGACACAAAAAAATTTTTTGTCGAAAAATTTGGAAGGCTATACCCTTTCGATTTTTTTGAAAAAATAAAAACCAATTTAAATTTGCATACGGATAGAAGGTCACATGTAGATCTCAAAAATATACTCAGTTTTTTTCTAAAAGCAATATTAAAAAAGTTGTAGCAAAAATAAAAAATTTTGATATCTCCTCGCTCATCTATTATCCTGATACAAAGTTCCGAATTCGAAAAGATCCAATTTTGTCTACAAAATTTTGGTATCAGGATAGCAGAAACGGGACAAGGTATTTGACTTATTTTTAAATGTGAATAACGACTAAACGGCTCAAGATAGAGGCAAGCCGTAGAGGGCATTTTAAACTATTCGTCCGGCTCTACGTGTATGTGAATTTATGGAATAATTCGATTATTATTAACTGAGGAATTAACAAAAAAAAGTTACCCCTTATAGCTAGGGAGCAACTGAGTTCACCCCTTAATTGTTCGTGCTTTCCTTTATATGTACCCCAATTTTCATCAAGATCGGACACAAAAAAATTTTTTGTCGAAAAATTTGGAAGGCTATACCCTTTCGATTTTTTTGAAAAAATAAAAACCAATTTAAATTTGCATACGGATAGAAGGTCACATGTAGATCTCAAAAATATACTCAGTTTTTTTCTAAAAGCAATATTAAAAAAGTTGTAGCAAAAATAAAAAATTTTGATATCTCCTCGCTCATCTATTATCCTGATACAAAGTTCCGAATTCGAAAAGATCCAATTTTGTCTACAAAATTTTGGTATCAGGATAGCAGAAACGCGACAAGGTATTTGACTTATTTTTAAATGTGAATAACGACTAAACGGCTCAAGATAGAGGCAAGCCGTAGAGGGCATTTTAAACTATCCGTCCGGCTCTACCTTTATGTGAATTTATGGAATAATTCGATTATTATTAACTGAGGAAATAACAAAAAAAAGTTAACCCTTATAGCTAGGGAGCAACTGAGTTCACCCCTTAATTGCTCGTGCTTTCCTTTATATGTACCCCAATTTTCATCAAGATCGGACACAAAAAAATTTTTTGTCGAAAAATTTGGAAGGCTATACCCTTTCGATTTTTTTGAAAAAATAAAAACCAATTTAAATTTGCATACGGATAGAAGGTCACATGTAGATCTCAAAAATATACTCAGTTTTTTTCTAAAAGCAATATTAAAAAAGTTGTAGCAAAAATAAAAAATTTTGATATCTCCTCGCTCATCTATTATCCTGATACAAAGTTCCGAATTCGAAAAGATCCAATTTTGTCTACAAAATTTTGGTATCAGGATAGCAGAAACGCGACAAGGTATTTGACTTATTTTTAAATGTGAATAACGACTAAACGGCTCAAGATAGAGGCAAGCCGTAGAGGGCATTTTAAACTATCCGTCCGGCTCTACCTTTATGTGAATTTATGGAATAATTCGATTATTATTAACTGAGGAAATAACAAAAAAAAGTTAACCCTTATAGCTAGGGAGCAACTGAGTTCACCCCTTAATTGCTCGTGCTTTCCTTTATATGTACCCCAATTTTCATCAAGATCGGACACAAAAAAATTTTTTGTCGAAAAATTTGGAAGGCTATACCCTTTCGATTTTTTTGAAAAAATAAAAACCAATTTAAATTTGCATACGGATAGAAGGTCACATGTAGATCTCAAAAATATACTCAGTTTTTTTCTAAAAGCAATATTAAAAAAGTTGTAGCAAAAATAAAAAATTTTGATATCTCCTCGCTCATCTATTATCCTGATACAAAGTTCCGAATTCGAAAAGATCCAATTTTGTCTACAAAATTTTGGTATCAGGATAGCAGAAACGCGACAAGGTATTTGACTTATTTTTAAATGTGAATAACGACTAAACGGCTCAAGATAGAGGCAAGCCGTAGAGGGCATTTTAAACTATCCGTCCGGCTCTACCTTTATGTGAATTTATGGAATAATTCGATTATTATTAACTGAGGAAATAACAAAAAAAAGTTAACCCTTATAGCTAGGGAGCAACTGAGTTCACCCCTTAATTGCTCGTGCTTTCCTTTATATGTACCCCAATTTTCATCAAGATCGGACACAAAAAAATTTTTTGTCGAAAAATTTGGAAGGCTATACCCTTTCGATTTTTTTGAAAAAATAAAAACCAATTTAAATTTGCATACGGATAGAAGGTCACATGTAGATCTCAAAAATATACTCAGTTTTTTTCTAAAAGCAATATTAAAAAAGTTGTAGCAAAAATAAAAAATTTTGATATCTCCTCGCTCATCTATTATCCTGATACAAAGTTCCGAATTCGAAAAGATCCAATTTTGTCTACAAAATTTTGGTATCAGGATAGCAGAAACGCGACAAGGTATTTGACTTATTTTTAAATGTGAATAACGACTAAACGGCTCAAGATAGAGGCAAGCCGTAGAGGGCATTTTAAACTATCCGTCCGGCTCTACGTGTATGTGAATTTATGGAATAATTCGATTATTATTAACTGAGGAATTAACAAAAAAAAGTTACCCCTTATAGCTAGGGAGCAACTGAGTTCACCCCTTAATTGCTCGTGCTTTCCTTTATATGTACCCCAATTTTCATCAAGATCGGACACAAAAAAATTTTTTGTCGAAAAATTTGGAAGGCTATACCCTTTCGATTTTTTTGAAAAAATAAAAACCAATTTAAATTTGCATACGGATAGAAGGTCACATGTAGATCTCAAAAATATACTCAGTTTTTTTCTAAAAGCAATATTAAAAAAGTTGTAGCAAAAATAAAAAATTTTGATATCTCCTCGCTCATCTATTATCCTGATACAAAGTTCCGAATTCGAAAAGATCCAATTTTGTCTACAAAATTTTGGTATCAGGATAGCAGAAACGCGACAAGGTATTTGACTTATTTTTAAATGTGAATAACGACTAAACGGCTCAAGATAGAGGCAAGCCGTAGAGGGCATTTTAAACTATCCGTCCGGCTCTACCTTTATGTGAATTTATGGAATAATTCGATTATTATTAACTGAGGAAATAACAAAAAAAAGTTAACCCTTATAGCTAGGGAGCAACTGAGTTCACCCCTTAATTGCTCGTGATTTCCTTTATATGTACCCCAATTTTCATCAAGATCGGACACAAAAAAATTTTTTGTCGAAAAATTTGGAAGGCTATACCCTTTCGATTTTTTTGAAAAAATAAAAACCAATTTAAATTTGCATACGGATAGAAGGTCACATGTAGATCTCAAAAATATACTCAGTTTTTTTCTAAAAGCAATATTAAAAAAGTTGTAGCAAAAATAAAAAATTTTGATATCTCCTCGCTCATCTATTATCCTGATACAAAGTTCCGAATTCGAAAAGATCCAATTTTGTCTACAAAATTTTGGTATCAGGATAGCAGAAATGCGACAAGGTATTTGACTTATTTTTAAATGTGAATAACGACTAAACGGCTCAAGATAGAGGCAAGCCGTAGAGG